GAATTCACCAAATTTGCAGTTGCTATTAATTTGGATTTAATGGCAAGTACTTGCGTGTTTTTGGGTTTATGAAAAAAACGGAGTCAAACAAAAACTTTAAATAGTCTTTGTTGCATAGACTTCGATAATATTTTATTGTTATTATTATGCAGTTTCTTACACCCCCTCCCCTCGTGTTTGAAAAATATTCATAGAAGCGTAATGGACATTGCGGGGTGCAAACACAATGGAAATGGGGCGGCAGAAACGAGGACAAACACACACGTACGTACACGACCCCAGCTAAATGTTCACAACACGTGAACGTGGACTTCAGGGGGATGTAAGCCCTCTTTCTCTTTTACACCAAGGCCATTCTCGATTAATCGCGAGATTTATTGCGACCCCATCAATCTCACCTTTCCTCCTTAATTAATATTACAATAAAAATGGATCGATCCCATCGACAGATACCCGTATTCCACTCATTATTTTATTTTTCTTTCGTGTTGCGGCTCCTACCGTTCGGCCAGACGCTAATGACGTGTATATTTTGTCTTCCTCCTCAACCCGATCATCATCTATTTGGTGTGGATCCACGCGTGACTGGCTCTCTAAATTACATGCATACGAGTTATTAGTCAGCTGCCACACACCCTCTTCAATCTAAGTGCACTAAACCGAAGTCAAATAGGGTTCCCAAACGAATGGCAAGAACAATTTCGAAAAGATTATTCAAGAATTAACATTTACATTTTTTATAAGTTAAAAAATTGCATCTCTAACAATGGGGAAAACAGCTAACAACAATCATCTGACAACAAACATTCTTTATATTGACTTTTATGTCAGATCTTTGTAATACGAGCAACGCAATTAATGTGATGCAGGCACAAAAAATACTCCTTATAAACTAAAAAGAAATACTATTTTCCTATCTCTAGAATTACAGTATGATTTATCGTTTGCTCAATATCGTCCGATTCAATAACTCTTCTTCGTCGTGCTTTGTGTTGCGTGAAGGAAGAAAGGATTTTAGGGGCGTCGTAATTAATTTGGGGGGCGCGAATTACGTATTCATCATGGAGAAAATACAAGGCCTGTTCCGGATGAAAGGGGTGATGGGGGAGGGGGGTGGAGTGGTCGGTTGCTACGTCCCGCCACAGGAAATATATTTAAAATTATTTACGGCCGGAGCGGCGAAAATAATTGGTCGATGGCGTGCATTTCCGGCATAATTAAGGCCAGACACGCACCGTGCGTGAAAACCGATTAAATCTCTGCGCTGATTCCTTTGGCCCTTCGAGATCCACGCTTTTTACCGTTCGCCCTTCTCATCACTGACACATAAAAATGTACAATAATTTCAATTCTTCAATTGCTATTATCTATACAGTGTTTTATAGATGCACACTTTGTAGTTATTAATATCAAATAGTATAATGTATTGTTTGTTAATCTTATGAAGAAGTCAAGAAAAACAACTAAATACCAAAAGTTTCTTTTCGCTATTTACCTTCACATCAATAGACGTAGACTCGAAGTTTTCATGAGTTCTGCAAAGTTCATTCTTTATCCGTACATAATCTTCACATACAAAAGAAAAAAAAAATAGTTAAGTAATCATTATATTTTTTCATTATTGTGATTTTCTCAAAAACTATAATAGGTATAATGGTTCCAAAAGATACATATGAAAGTTGGATAGTTGGGGAATGTAACGTGTATTCAATTATTGCTGTGGTCATATCCATTCGGCAGTAGGAAAATAAATGATGAATGTACGGTGATTAGAAGCAATTCGAAAAGTTAGTTTTGGTTGTAGCATTGAATCCCCATAGGAGTTATTTCGTGAGAGCTGTGGTTGCCGGCATGTTTATATTATTTACGGTGGAGTTTGAGGGTGGCGGCGGCGGCGGAGGCGGTTGCTCAACTTTAAAGCGATTGCCGCCCGCGCCGACGAATAAATGATCTTCATAAATCTCGTTCCGCGAAAACTTCTACCCGCCTCCCTTATTTTCCTTTCCTCGCATCGCTTTCTCTACTTCCCTTGTTTTTGTTTTTCATTTCTTTTCTCCTGCTCTGCCATTCAGACGATGCCAGTTTTTCCGCCTTCTTCTTTTGCTCCCTCTGCAAATTCTGCCCATCCAGTTTCCTGGATACAGGACATCTAAGCCAATTTCGCTGCAAGCGAGAGCGGAAAATCGAACGTCCTCCGGCGTCATGTGACAAACGACCCCCAATTAACTTGTAATCGTATGCTAATTTAATAAGCGGCTTCTTCGTACCGTAAATTCACGTGTTAATGATATATAGGCTTTTCGAAAAGCGTGATCAAACACGCTTCTCATTCACTTTAAAGTCCTTACAATCCGATAAATATAATTTTATAATTATTTCTTCATGGAAATAATGTGATGGTATTAGAAGTTATAATATTTTATAGTTAAAAAAAAACTAGATTATTTTTACAATTTTAATCTTCTAAATAACTTTTCTTTAGTAAGTGGGTGGAGGCAACGTAGTTTCGTTGTCATTTTTTGCTTTTGGAGAGTGTGTAGTAAATGATCAACAAAGAAGACATACATTTTAAGAGTTCAGAATTTGAATATCGAAGAGTAATTGCTCACTGTTCCTGGCTTCCTATATGATATATATGTATAAATTTAACTGTCTCTCTTGCACACACAAAAATTATTGGTGACCATGGGTATAGAAAGAGAGCGTCGGGTATCGGGTCGAGTTTTGGGGTTGGTTCGGATCGCAGCCAGCGGTTTGAAAACTATATCTATCCCTCTCTCTCTCTCTTATTCTAGTCCGTCGCAGGGGGATCAGAACCCTCCTGCAGCGAGCACTCGCCTAGTATTTTCCTGCTGCGGCACAAAACCGCACAATCCCCATAGCTTATGGCCACATTTGCTTCCGCTTCTCCTCTACCTTCCATTCCAACCCAAAGCCCTTCTTTTTACGATAATTACAAAATTCAATACTTCCACATTTGCGTTTGATGGATTTCTCCATGTATTGTCTTTTATTTTAAAAATTGAGTAATACGGGAAGTCTATAGTAACTGTACTAATTAAAAAAAGAAAAATACATGTAGTTTTCATTATATTTCTTCCGTTTGCTCTCTTTTAATACATCTAGAGTTGGTATAGGTCACACATTCAAGTACTACCTATCTATATATTAATGAGTTAACTGATTAATTCATCCGTTAACTTACAATTAAATAGGAAGAATTTGATTATAATTGTCAGAATATCATTAGGAAGATGTCGTGTACTAATTGTAAAGTGTAATGGGAATGCAAAACAGACAGCAGCGATAAAGTTCGTTCGTTAAGGGGTTGAACGAGAAGGGAAGATGGGTCTGTCGTCATCGGTCTCAATTGTAGTTTATTGACGGGACAGACAACAACCTGTCTCCGATGTGGCTTTATTATGTGGGTCATATGTGACTATTTCAAAGAGTACGTTGTAAAGTGGCGGAGAAGTCACGGAGTACCGTGCACCATATTCTCGTATCTTTCTACCTCGCCACATGCATAACTTGGAACACAGTGTATGATGATGGTAAGGCGGCGTGCGAGAGTATCATCTGATAGCGGCGAGGGGACCTTCACAAAGGGCCCTGAGCTCAGAGCCAGATACGAGGTGACGGGGGGTGCAGTGGAGCGGCGGAGACGCGGGTGGCGTTTTTAGGAAGGAGACTAGTGTAGTGGAATGGGAAAGGCGGCAACAGCAGCAGAAGCAGCCGCTACCGCCGTCGCCAGCGGCTGATGACTGCAGACTTTGTCACCCACTCCACACCGTATTCCACTTCGTAGCCTCTTCCACTCCGCGACCGCCGCCTCTTCCGTCTCCTCCACCCCGCAACGCCTGCTTTGCTTTCTGCCACTTAACCGCCACCAACCCGAATTCAAAGCTACCCACCCTCTAACACGCGCTTCTTTCCAATTTGGCGCGGCATCGATTCGACTCCAATTTATTATTCCGCCCGTTCGCTAATTAATAGAAATCACGCCAGAATACTTCTGCTCACCGTTCTATCATCATATTGTGGTTATCAAAACCATAACTAATAACATTAGACTATAATTTAGACTCTGGATAATAATAAACATCCATCTTCATTTAAAATCTTTAAAACTATAATGTTATTAAAGAGATATCATTAATACAAGAGGATCCTTAAGTTCAATTACTCTCGAGGAGTGAGAATAAAAGTGAAAAAAAGTAGTGCAAAGCAAATAGTAGTAGAGTTTCTAATTAATTTAGAAATTACTTTAAAATCTTGGTATTCGACGGATTCGTTACTCAACACAACAATTTAAGGGACATCAGATTGACTAAATAATAATTTAGACAGGTATTAAACTTGTATTTATTATAGAAAACGCTTAAAACGTACGAAATGTATTATACACAAATGTTAATAAGTGTATATATTTACTAAAAGTATAAACTAAATATAAAACTTTGTTTTGCATAGTATGTCAATTTTTGTTTTTAAAACCTTTTATATTAATATTTATAAAAAGTCATATCTCCAACACATTTATAAACTGCATTTCGTTGTTCGTATTTAAATATATATATTGATAGATTATTTGATAATGTAGTCAATTTTTTAAATAAAATTATAAGACGATAGATATTTATTATAGTAGAATTTACATTTAATGTTTCCCCTTGAAACTAACCATGATTCAATAGTTTGATATATTAATTTGGGCTAGGATTGTTAAACTCAAATTAATTATATTTATATATAGTAGATTACATTCTATCTAACTTTTTGCGTAAACATTTTATTTTTTTGTAAATGATAGCTATCAAATAAACGAATTTCCGTTGAAGTAAGTAGATGGTAACTGGTAGCGGATCGGAAACTTGTGATTCAGCACGATCAAAAGGTGGTAATTGGAACGGTAATGGGTTCAACTTAATGCGAGAACCGCATCGCGCGCCTTTTGTCAGCGCCGAGGGAGTTGCTAACTTAGTTTCGTAGATGCTTACCTTGAACGGAGCGTTGGGCACGTAGAGGAAGGGATCCTTGGCGGAACCGGAGAGTTTTGTTTTGACGGGGGGAATACCCTCGTCGACGTCGCACACGCTGTATCTGCCGACGATGGCGTCCGCTGGTCGCGCCTCGTAGCCGGCCGGCTTATACATATGAAACCCTTTCGCTTTTACCCAGAACCGGAACTTGCTGTTGTCCGCACTGGCGACCTCCTCGAAGCGCAGCGTTCTTAAGATCCGCGCGTACTTTTTCAGCGTGACCGTCTTGGTCTTAGCCAGGTCACCGTACGTCTGTATGACCCACGGCTGATAGGAGGCGAACATGTCGACTTTGCTGTCCACTACGCTGAGATGGGCGCGTTTCACGTTGTTGTTCTGCTCGGGACACTTGGAGCTACCGGACACGGAGCCTGTGCTCTTCCGCTTCACGGCCTTCTTGACAGGAGGCTTTACAGTCTCCTCGGTCGGGCCCATTTTGCTCCTCAAACCGCGATCGGCCAGCATTGCAGTTGCCATAGGGAAAACACCGCGCACATTAACACCACACAGTTTAAAACAAAAAAAAACAACAACCAGTACGAAACCAATGACAACAATAACAACAGCAAGCGATCAAGAAGAAGAAACGATAGCTTTGCAACAACCGCAACTTTTGACACCTGTTGCTCGTAAGTATAATAATAACAACAAACTTGACGAGAAAAAAAGGATCACCAATAATTTGAATAATAATAATAATAATAAATAGGAGAACAACGTAAATCACCCAGTGAGCAATGTTTGAACCATGTATTTGGTTTGCTCATATGTGAAATTATTATTATTTTATTTAGCTTTAGGATTGAGTTTAGATGATGTGGGACGCGTCGATCTGCGAGCGTGCGGAACGAAAGTCGTAACGGCAGTGCTGTGTGCAGGCAGACAGGAACACGCGTCGAGATGCCGGGCTGTCCCGTACTGGTAGCGCCTAACGCGTCGATCTCTGAGGTGCTCACGGGACAGTCCCATATAACCCCCACCATCCTCACCTCACGGACGGCGGTGGCGGCGACGGCAGCGGTGGTGGCCCGTGCGGGGATTTCGCCTTTGTAATACTTCTGACCGAGGCGCCTTCTCACTCTCTATCTCACTCTCCCTCTGTCTCTCTGATCACATTTCTTTCTTTCTCTCTTCCTTCTTCACTTCATTCTCAACGACTACCCCTTTTTTTCCTTGCCGCTTCAACTTCGACTTCTTTCTAATTACATACTTATGCACATCTACTTTTGTTTCTTTATAATAAAAAAATCCAACTTCCAAGAATTCTTCATCCTTTTGTCAACTACTTGTGTTATGACTAGTTAAGACTAATAATTATTAAGAAATTTAATATTTTCCTTGAGTTTTACTACTATCTGAACATTATTTTCTACATTAAGTTAAACAAAATTCGAAAGTGTTAGTATTTTTAAACGTTTTAAAAATTAATTTAATAATTTAAAAAGATGGTATTATTTATTATAAGATTCATTTTATATTCTTTATTGTTGCTTATTACATTTACGTTATATAGAAAATACGTTAAATCCTCCAGCCCGTATCTGAATATTCCAGGAAGGAATCTTTAGAGTATATAAGCTGTAGCATATCTATTCGGTCGCTTCTCAGAACTTCATCACGGCATGACTATACGACTATTTTTGCCGATGTGACTGTCCAGCAGCGGCAAATCACCTGGACATCTGGAAACCAGGATCCTTCTACATATGGCTCACTCTGTGCACCGAATTAAAGCTATCTGTGATGTCCTTAAATAAACATGTGTGTGAATATCGCCGTTGTGGAATTAGTTGTTTCCACCCTTCGAATATTGCTTTTCTATTCATATAACCGAGCATGTCTAAAGAAAATTAATTGTAACCAAATGATCATTTTAAAAAGTATTAAATTAATTAGTTGATAAAAATTCATCAAAAATTTTCAGTATTATTGTTATAGTCGCAGTGTACATATAATGTTTATGGGACATGGATTTCGTTGAATAATTTAAATGGTTTCAATTAGTTTAAATGTTACATAGGTTTGTTTGTATCGGTATCTGTATTATTGGTGCGTAATTAATTCAGTATTGATCATTAACAAACTAAAATTTAATAATCTAAATGTCATTATTAATTATGTTAATTGCATTAATGTGAGTTGACAAAATCTAGAATTTTAAACGGTTAGAATTTTAAAAATTACAATAGTCGAACATGTAATTTGGAGGTAGTAAATCATAAATATTATGCGTTTATTGGAGAGAGTTTTTCGTTTATAAATTGGTCCTGCAGCGACTGTGAGAAATGCGACTCTTGGGGTTGCATACGAGGTCATAGGTCACGCTGATGCAGAAGGGGTGGCGGCGAGTTCACATCTCATGAATCGCATCAAGTGGACCAGCGCGCAGCAAACTAGTTTCCAGATTTTTGCTCGCATCTGCATCTGTTGCTGCCGCCGCGCCAACTACTTAACATCTTTTCTTCGACTCCCTCTTCGTCGTTCATCTACACCATCTTGCTGCAGATGCGACTAATTTCAACCAGTTTCTATAAACCAAAATTTTGTGAAACGTATAATTAATTTTTTTTTTTGATATAAAATGCAGAATTTTAAAATAATAATAATAGTTATAAATACTAATTAATTGTTTGTGCAATTAATTTTAACAGCGATTATTAATTTAAATTGTGTTTGGAAAATTATAATTAATTTTTTGTCGTTAATTTATTTTAAATTCGTAAACCATTATTTTCGATTATAATTAATTTTTAATCAAATTTTTCAATAGAAGCTGCTTAACTCCTGTCGCTTCCGTCACAACGCTTCCATTGTAGTTTCTTTCTAACATTTAAAACGCTTTGAAACGGATGTGATGTTCTTTTTTTTTCTTCTTCTCCTCCTTCAGGTCTTGCCCATATTATATTAAAAAGTAATTTACGTTACGGTTGAGAAAATCATGCTTCAAGTTTCTGTACTCTTTTCTTGCTATGATTCATATAAGTTACATTTTCAGTGCATCATTTTGGAAGTCCTTTTAATCCGATGTGATTTATTATTGAACCAAACGAACTATCCAAAACAGAGGAGATATGTTTAGACAATCCGGTAATTCTTACCGGTGGACCTCAAATCTTCAACTGATTTCATTCTGAATGTCATGAAAAAAAAAACTTACACTAAAATCTAAATGTAACAGTTACAAATTCAAGTTACACGAGGTGTTTAACTGTAAGTTACAAACATTACATTCCCTAAGAGGAATTAAAATACCTAACTGTTGTAATTAGTTGAGGCGGCTGTGTGAATAAATAAGGTATCAAATTATCCTTGAATTTAAAACTTATCATTGTATTATCTGTAGATTCACTTATGCTGGTATTATTTTCTTGAAGAATGAAACCTCAAAAAGAGACTATCAACTATTTAATTCAAAAAGCTAAGTGAGAGAAACGAAGCTTTTGGTGATTTGTATCTAATGATGCAGAGAGCAGATTCCACTTTATTCTATGAATGAAATCCATTGTGTTTTCATTTTACTGTTGTTGGGGATCGTTTTGTACGTGTGCGCGGTTTTATTTTAGGTTTCATTTTGTTCGCCTTCCGTTTCCGTGAATTCAACCACCGAAACGGCGACTCTGTACCCTTTTATTTCCCACATACAATTCGACAAAATGCGGTCCACGCATGAATACGAACAAAAATTGAATATCATAGTGATATTTTTTTTAACTTATTATTCTAATATATTAAATACTTTTTTTTTTATAATATATAAGAACAGATTTTAAACTTTTTTTGTTAAATTTCCTATTTTTTTGCTACTTCACTTGTCTCAGAGCGTGAATCCTGGATTCTTCCGCTGCAGCTGATGATGATGATTATAATGATGATGATGTCGAAAATAAAAAAGATCAAGTTCACAACCATGAGGTTTTTGATTCGTATCAGATTACTCTAGTGCACTGAAGTAGGAAGGAGACGGAGCTTTGTTTTGTGTGCTTTTCATCACAATAAACGTAAGCCGTGAGAAGCGACAAGTTTACTAGTAGTATTTGGAACGAGTCAAATTGAAAAGAGCAGAAATTAATTATGAACGTAATAATGAAATTTCATGTAGTCGTCTTCCCTTCATTTCGCAGCGATTGCGTATAGTGTAAATTATAAGCGAGGAGGAAGGAAGGGTGGGGGGGGTGGTTGCAGAGTAGAGCAGAGCAGGAAGGGTCGTCGGGGGAGAGTGAATTTTCCGGTGTTTGTCTCCATTATTAGGGGGTGGCCAGTTCTTGGGCCCGCGCGTATTGTTGGATTTTACCACAGGATGTCGCGGCCACTTACGTAATTGCTCCGTCTCTCTTGTGAGTGTGGTGCCCAGCCCGAACCGCGACCGGATATAATTATTTATCCATGCCTGGACAACGGACGGACGGAACGAAATTAAGGTTCGCCTGTTGGGTTTACTGCTGCTGTTGCTGCCTGGGTTTGGACGAACCCCTCTCTTCGCTCTTTCCACTAGGTTGTCTCTTTCGTGCCTTCGGACACTCCCGTTGTGTGTTATGCGTACATACAAATACATGCCACATTCGTCGGTGGAAAGTACCGCCACATTTCTTATACAGAGTGTCCCCTCTTTTACAGATTTTCAGATCCACATTTTTTTTGACAAACATTTCTTCAAGATTTGCATTCAATAGAATTGCTATAACATCAAGGTATTATGCTGAATCCGCACTAAACGTGTCATATATCTATTTATTATATAAGTAAAATGCCCGATTATCGCAATTAATAATATTCAACAAATATAATGAAAAATAAAATTTAATTATTTTGCTTAGTTCTTACTTACATACAATCTCAACCTGCGGTGGGACCCAACATATTTGTTAGTAATTGTAGTCCAACCCAATGTTGACATTTTGAAGCAAACGGACAGCTTCACAACCCATAGGTAATCTGATGGTATTATTATTCTTACGCATAATGTACATCTCTGGGCAAATTGTTAATTAAATTAAAGAAAAACGAAATACTGTGGAAAATATAGGGAGAGACGTTACAAACATTGGCGCGGTAGATTACCGCAAACCGGCTCCGCCTGTGCCATGTCGGGTGAGTGCGGTTGTCGCCCTCCGAATCAGGTGTTGTCTACCAATATTTTCTGTAACAAATCATATGATGTGTGAAAATGATGACAGGACATGAAAGTATCGAAATGGCAGTAAAAAGCCATTGCTTGTCATATGTCAAGACTAAGTACAATAGATGACATAAACTTCAGATTCGTATCAGTCTTTTCATGACATTATCTTTAATTCGTTTCGTTAAACGTTAACTACAAGATCATCGAAAACAAAATCTTTCACTTCATAAATAAATAATACTCTTACAGTCTGTGCAGCAGAATCCTTAGCAGAATGTGCAAAAGAAAACGCGTCGCTTCTTCGAAATAATGACCATTAGAGACATTCGTTTCGTTTTCTTCACTAACAGATACTTCCACTATGCAATTCGAATGATGTACGAGATGTTGCATTGTTTTGTGTGAATGTGTAAAACAGAAGGAGGTGAGAATTTTCCGCCGACAGATGTTCTTGGCTTTGCGGTGTTTACGTATCGGTTGATGCACTTCCTGCAAA